AAGATAAGTCTTCCATGGAATATTATGAAACTAGTTTATAATATTTAGGAAACTTTATATGTATTCTGTATAATTTTTTTTTTTTAAAAACGATTGAGCTATATTTAGATTTATAATTCAATTTTTTAAATTTTTGACGTTGGATTTTTGTTTTATATCTGATAAGTGTAAAAAATTGTATTCTATTTGTATCATAATACACTTTGTCCAATAATAAAATCCTGCCACCTGTCTATGAGTTTTAATAACTAAATCTTCTTTATTTGCAACTTCTCATATAATTGTGTACAGTCAGGATTTCTCTTGAATTTATTCCATAATCTTTTCTCCACAGCAAGTAATCACGTTAACTACCTCCACCATTGCCATTTTTGATCAGTACAGTTAATTAATATTTGCTAACAGATAAATTTTGTATGGTTACTTATTGCACCAATCTCAAGTCCTAAATAACAAGTTTAATGTATATGTGAATAAAATTAATATATTACTTTACTTGACTGTTCATGTTCTAATATATATTTCAGCTTGTGGTCTAGATTCTATAAGCTAAGAAAAGTTTACCTCAATTAAAAGCAATAAGCTTATCTCATCTCCTAGAATCTCCTGGAAGTTTTCCCCTGTTTGTGAAACATTAATACAACATTATGTTTCCTTTATAATCTGTTGGCTTCTTATAAAAAAGTAATCTCAGTATAACAGATTTAATCAGGGTTATCCATTCCAGTACATTTGTAACAATGGCTTAATATCACACACTATTATTGGTTGAGTCTACAATTTATTCATTTAATTCTTTGTTTGTTTGGTTTTTGTTTGTTTTTTTTCATTTATTTTGTCATAGTCCCAGTTTATGTTGTTTATAAAAAGCAAAGGGCAAAGTCCATTTACCACTATCATTATCAAATAAACATGAAAAATAACAAACACAAATGTGTACAACCTAATAGCTAACTAAAAGTTAACTATGGATTTTTAAAAATGATTATACAAAACATATTTTTATATTACTACAGCATTCTATGGAAATCAACTTAATCCCCGTAGTGCTGTACATAGGTGCTATGAGTGAATATAGGGGTCTACACTTTAGAAGTACTACTCAAGAGTGGACACATATTCTGTTTGTTTTATATGTATGTCTACTGCACTACTCACCGCAGTAAGTGTTTCAATAGTGTTTACTGGTGTGGGAGAACGAGGGACTGTCAGTTTTCAGAGAATTGACAGATCCTCTTTAAGGTTCCTCATTAGATTTAATGAACTTGGAGAGAGAGAGAGGAGAAATCGTTATGTTATATATCATTAAAAAGCCAACTCTTTCTGCTAGTTGTTATTCCGCTGCTGATTGTATTACAAATGCATGTGAAGTGAGTATCAATGTACCATGAAGGGGGATTATTAATATGACACTTTTAGAAGAATATTTTAAAATAAAATATAAAAATCACAAATATCCTAAATTCCATCTTTTTTAGTGTGTCTGTTGAATAAGAGCAGAGATTATAAGAGGTGCTAAATTAATACCAGAATTATTAATATGATTATTATAATTTTAAATAAAAGTGCTTTATTCTATGTCTGGGTCATTTATATTGCTCTATAGATTAGCATAGTAATCCATAAAAAATCTTTTTCACTTGTAGCTTTTACCCTGCCTTTCATTGTCTTAAAAGCTGTTCTATATTATTTGCTAAAAGCCTTCCATTTATCATGCATGAGATTTAATGTACACTCAATAAGGTAACTCAAATATAAGATACTGCCATTATATTTCTTCTTGATGATATTAGGGTTTCTATTCCTTCCAAACCTCATGTGTGCATGGGCGTAGGAACTGGGGGGGATAGGGGGGACGCATCCCCCTCAGCAAATCATGTTATAGATAAATTCCCCCCTCCAGCTCCGCCGGCCGCGGGTGCCCTCAGGCTGCGTGCGGCTCCATCAGGGAACTGTACGCACTGCAGACTGGGAACGGGAGCAACTCCCCCTCTGCGCAGGAGCGCCGGGTGTCACGTGACTACCCGGCGCTTAATCTGACACTGGACGTCCAGAGGTCCCCCTGCTATGTCAGGTAAAAGGGGGAACAACAGTTTGTAGGGGGGAGAAAAGAAAATATTTATTTTTTTATAGTGTTAATTAATGGAAGGGTTAAAGAAGGAGGGAGAGGGGGAGGTAGAAAAATGAATGTAAGCGGTTGGGGGGCTACTAATATGGATGGGGGAGAGGGGTAGGTAGAAAAATAATTGGAAGGGTTTAGGGGGGCTACTAATATGGATTAGAGAAGGGGGTAGGTAGAAAAATTATTGGAAAGGGTTAGGGGGGCTACTAATAAGGATAGGGGGAGAAAGGTAGGTAGAAAAATAATTGGAAGGGTTTAGGGGTCTACTAATATGGATGGGAGGAGGGGAAAGGTAGAACAATAATTGGGAGGGGTTAATGGAGTACTAATATGAATGGAAATGGTAGGGTGGGTTCTAATATGCATGGAAGGGGTTAGGGGGGTACTAATATGCATGGAAGGGGTAGGGGGTTTAATATGCATGGAAGGGATAGGTGGGGTTCTTATGTGAATGGAAGGGGTAGGGATGGTTCTAATATTCATGGAAGGGGCAGGTGGGGTTCTAATATAAATGGAAGGGGTAGAGACGGGTAGTAACATGCACTTCTGAAAGTGTCACTGAATGGCAGTTAGGAAGTGTTTTATTGCTCCCTGCTCGCACCCTCCTATTTCGTCATTTTGACGAAATAGGGAGCGCGCAATAAGGAGGTTCCTGGCACTGTATCCGGGTAAGTAAAATCCCTTTCCTGTAGTGACCCTTTAATGTTATTATTTTATCATTTATATAGCGCCAGCAAATTCCGTAGCGCTGTACAATGGGATAAACCACTCCTAGTTTACAAAATAAGAATATACCCCGCAAGTAAAAATGCTATCCCCCCCAGATTTTGGGGGGTTCCTACGCCCATGCATGTGTATATGTGAATAATGTAGACATATTACAAACTGTTTTGACGTGTTTATTGTGGCTTTCTAGCACCTGCCTTTATATATACAAAGTTTGTATTCACAGTTTATGTATATGAGCGCTTATTAAAGTGCAAGTGCTATATCTACTGACTGTGCTAAAAAAAACAAGCTCTTAGATGCTACCACACTGTAATGTGTAATTCTCCTAAAATCACATCAAAGACAGAATTTTTTTGTACCAGATTCAGTGGAGCGCCTAAATATGTGCATAAAACTTAATAGTACACCTAGTGCAAGCAAGGAATATATATATATATATATATATATATATATATATATATATATATATATATATATATATATATATATATATACCATATTTTTACATATCCTTGAACATCTAATGTCGTGTTATAGGTTATAACTCTGGAATATGTGAGTGTTCCAATTTATGTGTATATCACATTTGTGTACATAAGGGTACTACACTATTTCTGTTTTTTTTTTTTTCTTAAAGGTATACACAACATTGGATGTTCAAGGATATGTAAAAATACTGTATATATATATATATATATATATATATATATATATATATATATATATTCCTTGTTTGAACTAGGTGTACTATTAAGTTTTATGCACATATTTAAGCCATTTTCTCATGTGTACTGCCAATCTGTAAGCAGTCTACTCATTACTGTGAAACCTTTTATGATTCAACTAGCACAATTATCATTGCATTTTCGGAGCGTCAGTATTTTAGGCAATGATTAATTATACGTATAGTGTTTGGTCATGCTTCAACTATCAGCTCATTACAAAACTGCAGCCCCAAATTGTATTTATGGAATGTTTGTAAAGAAACCACTTATAAATCATTTCAATCTAGAACTAAATACATTAGGATTCATTCACTAAGCAGTGAATTGTGGTGAACTGAAAATGGATTTTGTATAAGTAAAGTATTATAAAAGTATGTTTTTATAAATGCTCTTCTTTCAAACAATACCTAAACTGTTTGGTTATTACATACATTGTGCTTACCAGTTAAATGGGCACTCCATGCACTATAACCACTACAGGCCACTGGGGAATCCTCATTTTTTCACTCAACCAGTGAAAGCAATAGGGGATCCTTGCACCATAACTTGACACATTTGACTTGGAACTGGGGAAGGTGCCAGGAACATGTCAGTGCCATAACCAGCACAATGATTCCTCATTTGTATTTTAGAAAGCATAAATTGGTTGCCAGTCATTTAAACTAATTACGCAGGTTTCAGTGTCTTGAATTTCCAAAAATACCATAATGTTCCTGCCTCTTAAATAATTAAGTGTAAAAGCTGTAGATACTTATTATGATATCCCAAGCTCAAATGAGCGTATGGGTCATATTCTGACACAAAGTTGTTTTGAACATTATATACTAATTGTTTTTCCAAGAGCAATTTAATTATTTTCTTCACTGTAAATTAAGGCTGCTAAATGATTAAATAAGAAGTATTTGAAAGATATAAATTGGAAACGCAACCATATGAGCTATATGAGATCCTGTTTCCAGGATTGTACCAGTAACAATAAATATCATTATTGAAAGAAACTGTAAGAAAATTAGCATTATTGTTATGCACATACATATATATTTATGTACAACCAATTTTTTTTTTTTAGTCATACAGAAGTCTGACCTGCCTCATCAAATATAACGGAGATGAATTGCAAACAAAATAGTTACTTGATTTAATTTTATAGTTTGTTAAAAACAGTTCAATGAACACAGTCTTAATAACATTCATTTTTCACAGAATGGCATGTCCTTTCTTCTAAACAAAACTAATGGGCAGTGGAAGTTTGCATGGTGAAATCAGATCAGAAATGATTAAGGCTATTACATAAAGTAACGATGAAGTGTAAAGTTCATAAATACAGACTGAAATTTATTCAGTGTGCTCTACTTACTTTATTATCAGAGCTGCCATCAGAAATCTTTGGGTCCCTTAAAGAAATTGGCAATCTCCCATCCCCCCCTATATACAGACTCCTTCACTCACACATAGAGACACACACACAACACATAAACTGTCATACACATACACTGTTCCAGAATACTCAAATATGCACACTGCCAGACACAAACATACCATGTCTACAATGTCAGGGACACACACATACACAGATACACAATGTTAAAAACATAAAAACACACTCTCAAACATATACACATATATTTACACCATCAGATACACACACATATTGTCAGACAAACACAGGCACATACAGTCAGTTGCAGAAACACACACTGTCAAACAAACACACTGTCATAGATGCACACATTCTGTCAGACACAAACACAAACACAGACATATGCGCACACATTGTCAAACACACACAAAGACACATTTAAGCACATACATAAAAAAGATTCCCTACGTCTTCCACCTACAGTAAAAAGTCAAAAATATCCCCTGCTCCTATATTCTACTCCCCTCTCTCTGTAGTCCTACTCACACCTCAGATTCCCTGTAGTGTGGCTGGAACCTTATAAGACTAATTGCTGTGCTGCTACCTTTTCACAGCAGGACAGCAAGCAATCTGCCATAGCAGTGCAGGCAACAATACCACAAACTGCCATATCCCTGACCCTGACCTTCTATACACATGCTGTGTATCTGAGCCCTCCTTAGAAACTGCAGTACTATAAATTCTCTATTAAAGCCATGCTACCGTTTAATGCATGGAAGAAAAGATGTCTGTGATATCACTTCCTCCACTGCTGCTACCTGTAGGGGAGCAGTGCAGTCTCCCATCTGATAAAGAGCATAATTTAATACTGCTAGACAATGTGGTCTGGTTGGTGGAGATAAATATATCTCCCCAACCAGATCACTAAGCATTACATGTCCCCATTCAAGACCCTAAGCTATAGCAGGCCACTTAAAAAGTATTCCTCCATGATGGTGACCCTGATTATTATATAAATCAAGACAATGTGCTGTATGTGTTAAACATAGATTTATGTGTCTCCCTCTAGAATGTTTCACTGTTTTTACCCTGAATTTCTCCACATAGCTTCAACTTTATCACTCAGCCTCTTCAACCCTTGTCCCTCTCTTTAATTCTTTTATAAGTTTTCCTATGACTGGTTTCTGTGATCTCTCTCACTCTCCCGCGCTCCCTTATTAACTCCTTTTAAAGTCTTTCTCTGTGTTTGTCACCAACTTTTTGGGGGAGAGTGAAGAAAAAGGGACTAAGTCCCAGTTAGTATTTTTGAATACATCATCATTAGAGTGTTTTTTTGCTGTTTAAATGTAAAGGTTTCAGTCATAGTTCTTAAGCAACAGACCATAGGTAACTCAGAGTCCAGTCAGCTAGTTTGAAGTATCCTTAGTGGAAGTAGGCCTAGGAGCAAAGATGACTTGGTCATGAAATACAGTATGCCATAATAATGTCAACACAATTAAGAGAATTTGTTTGAGATGCAAATTGAGAGCAACATATATTCTTAATGAAATGAGTATAAGTAAGAATTAATACAAAGAAAGATATAAATCATGTAAATTCTAATGCCTGTCACATTTGGAGACAGAAGAAGGATGATTAACAAACGACTGCATAGATAATAGATTTTCCAGGCAGTACCCTTATTGAAGGGACATTTCAAGTACCATACACAATACATCCTAATGCAATGGTGTGCTTCAATCAGGGAAGTTGTTAGCTTGCTATAAAGATGAAGGGCTTCAGACCAAGCCTAAGGGTAAATGTTATGGTTCCTTTCAGCCTATATATGTTTGCTATTCAGAAATCTCTCTGTTGTAAATTTGATATGTCTGGAAAAAAAAAATTGTCTCCGGCAATTTGGATTTTGCCCATGCAGCGTTTTGATTAAGACAAAATTAGTCTATGAGAAGAAAAATAATTCAGAGTAATCAAATTGGGACATAAATGGGCCTATCCATGTACTGTAAAATGTATACACAAATAAAGTGAGAAGAAGTAACCACTAGTGGGAAAAATTGAGGAGCAGTAGAAAAATCTATCTATTAAAAATATAAAATACAAAAATATACATATAGATTTTTTGACTGCATCTTCCTTTTATTCCCTCCATTCATTTCTCACTTCTGACTTAATCTGTGAATAAAACCAATATCTAGTAGCTGTGCCGTAACCATCAACCATCTTTTTTCTTTCAATTGTCTTTTTTTAGCACCACTGACAGAACTCTGAATCACCAACAAAATGGCTGATTTAATTTCCAGGTTGTTTGCATCTTGATTTGTCCATATGACCATTTGGCATTCGGGAAGTCTAGTCTCTTTTATGGTAAATTATTATTACATAATCAATATATAACTGAGAGGATCAATAGAGGTTTTTTTTTTTAAATCTGCGGATGGAGGTGGGACTTCTCTTTCACTATTACAAATTGTAATGTAACTAATACTTCTATCACTTGCAGATTTTCAGGAGACTTGAGGCTAATCATAATTCTTTGCTAAAATGCTTTTCAGTAGACAACTCAGGCCTCTGGCCCAAGTCAGCCCCCACTAACAAAACCCCTGGATTTAGTGAAGATATAAGTATAGTCACCGTATTTAATTTTCTGACTATCCTATGTCCAAGCTCAAGAAATGACCCTCTTACATCATACTAGTGAAGTATAGATTATCCATGCAGCCATACCAAACTCTAAGAAAAACATGAGAAGCCCCTAGCGTGCTTACACCATTTTAAACAGTTTTCATGTAAAGCACTGTTATCTTTCCAGCTCAAGGCATTACACAACTGATTACATATTAATTCACACATTACTAAAATTATTCAACTTTGTAAACCAATGCATAACATATAGCAATGTATTCGTTTTTATTTTTCAAATGTAGTTGACTTTTTAATATTTTTCTTTAAATCATAAAAAATTATTTCATTATTGCACATGAAAACCAACCTATATGAAAGTCATAATGGCACAATATTATTTAATTCAAAAATGAGTTAATCTACCTTAGCAGATGCATTTTTTTTTCCCTCAATGCTTTTACATCAGGAAACTTTAATTCACATTCTTCACAACACATGTCAAATCTGCAGTTTAAATTTAACATGTCAATGATAGCAAGAACAAGCTGTCTTACATTATTTGACAGCTTCTAGCCAGAGGCTGTTTCTTTCACAATTACAGATACAAATATTGCCAGCAATGTGATCTGAAATCTCAAGAGTTTCAGATCTTACATTTGCAAGTAGAATAAACAATTTAAATACACATGAGAAGGTAGTGTGTGTGAGAATGCTAAAAACTGAACTCTGTTATGATGAAGCTCCTGTAATGTAACTGAGTGCCTATGCCAAGAATCCCTAATGCTGGAAAATAAATTGCTCAGTGAATATAGCCTTATTCCAAACAACATTCAAGAGGGTAAACAACAACACTTTCTTTGGACAACAGGTACATATTTCTAGGGAAAATCACAACCGAGGTTGTGGCGGGAATGCTAACGGTCTGGGAATTGCCTGTCTGATATTATGTGCGTTTCCCCATATTTTCGTGTCTTCTGCCCGCTCCCCGTTTGGAAGTGCTGCCACGAAGGGAATTAATTCGGCTTTCGAATGGGGACCAGTCCGATACCCCATTTAGAATGTTGGCTTAGAACATTCACACCTTGTAACATAGTGCCAAACTGCAAACCAAAAAGGAAGCAATTAATGAGCACTCCTCCAGCTGGCTGCCATTCATACAGACGAACACCAGCCAGGGGGAGTGTTCGTGGATTGTTTCCTGACTCGTTAGTTTCCCGAACGAGGGCCTCTCCAATGCCCCATTAGAATGTTTGGGGCAATCAATTAGAGCATTCACACTCGCAACATAAGTGTAAAACCGCAAGGGGCGTTATTAATGAGTGCTACCCTGGGTGGCTGCAATTTCGTATCTGGAAAGGAGATGATTCCCTTGCCTGGTTTCCACACAGGGACCCTGCGAACGGAGGGGGCATGTGAGGGTCCCTGAGGTTGGTGTGGACACATTTGGGGCACTGGCAATTTTGACAGGATTTGCGGTGCCCGCTGGGACAAAGAGACTAGCTCTTTTTCTGCGGGCGGGTTCCCTGTGCCTTTTTCCCATGCTTGGTCTCCCAGATACAGAGGCTCATGGAATGAAGGGATGTGGGAAACCCTGTGCTTGGGTGGCGGGCCTTTGGGGCCAAAGGGATAAAGCCCTTTCCCGTATTAAGTTCCCGGGGAGGGGGAGGAGCATTGTATGCTGTGTGTTACACCCCTTGCATGGGGTTATGCTTAAAAGCCATGTGGGGCCAATAAAGTTGTGTTGTACCTCCAGAACTGTGTGTTGTCCAGTTACTGGGAGAAAATGGGTGTTTTTATGCCCTAAATGGTTCCTGTTCAGCTGAAGGAGCAGAAATAGCAGAGGTAACCAGTCAGGTTATCAGGTGATCCGCTACAGGGATCATCAATGTTGACAATAGGTTCCCTCATTGGTGCCGCTGTGTGTGGGGAATAACTCAATTTACTGAACATGATTTTATTAACTTCCAGACAACAGGTCACCTTACAACAGTAACCCCAAAACATAACTTTCTTCAACAGTATGTCTCAACAAATACATCTCCAGAGAGGGTTAATTCCCTTCAGAAAATTGTTGAAAATAATGCCTGTATTGGCTGTAACCAGACCGAGTAATCATTGAGTGACATTTAGCTTGTCCATGGTCATACTTCGATCTGGCACAGAGTTCCTGGCTAAGGATCGATCCATGGAAAAGAGTCCTCCTGACTTTCCTTGGCTCTTGGTGTGCTTTAATTGTCCTTCATCTTCCTCACGTTTAATTGTCCTTCATTTTCCTAGCCACACAGCTATGTCTGGATTTTCAGAGCTAATTTCAGGCATTACTGCACCCTCCTTTTTTTCAAGCTTTTTTTTTCTGTGCAGCACCTGCAGTTGCCAATATATATATATATATATATATATATATATATATAATAAAAATCCAAATATACACTAACAAACCAACCTATGAGTTAAGATGGTTACAATGCTTTTTACCATTGATTGCATGATACTAATAATTGGCTCAGTAAACCATGTGTACTTTTGTGATTTTCATGCATTGGTACATTTTTCTGTTTGTTATTCTTTTTTTATTGCTAACATTTTTATTAAAATTGATCATTTATGTTTGTGTGCGGATTCCCACCATATCCTGTAAAACAGACCTGAAAATTGAATTGAAAA